GTGCGTACAATATGATTTCTAATTGAGTTTGCAATTAGGAAAATCAAAACGGAAAGTGATTGCGTAGAAGCAATAATTACTCATGGTTGACGCCAGCATCGCCATTCACTATTTCACAATTTCTATATCATTGCACGAGATCATCAGATATAACAAGTTGCCAATAATAATACGCCTTTAGCTAAGCTCTCCAATTCAAAATGAAAGAAGTTCCACGCGCCAGAAAACGTATTCATCTCGTACCACTTTCACTAAACTTTTTCCCCGTTCATGCTCTAATTTCCATCTCTGCGCTCATGAAAAAATTATCAAATCGGCCCATTTCAGTATTGAAACGAAGTTCGTGAATATAGAACTTTTGCAATTGTTCATTTTCACTGTTTAGCCTAGTTGTGAGTCAATTTTTCATTTGAATAAGTGATAATGAAGACTTGCATTAGCAAATACTCCTTAATGCACAATCTATAAAATATGCTGAAGATATTTATAGCTGTCAATAATTTTTATAATGATTTATCAATAACACGAGATATAATATTTGATGATATTTAAATTACGTAATTAAATGCTATTTAAGTTACACTTGCTTCTTTGTGAATGTAATTGATTGTGGAATTGAAATAACAGTCGCAGTAGATTTTGTTTATGTAAGAAAAAACTCACAAATATACATTGTGAGTAGATTGTGAGTTCTATAATTTTTTTTCTTTTCTTTATTAAATTGTATTTGGCTTTTTCGAAAAAAATCTTCTCTTGTAATCTTGATAAACGAAACAACTGTGTAGCAAGAATGGTGATGGATCGATGGTAAAGCAGCGCAAAATTCAATAACTTTGACAACTGAGGTTCGTTTGAAAGCTAACACTTTCGTTTGTACAAGTGATCTTAACACATGAACCTTTTACACTTAGTTTCGGTCTATAGACTCAAGGCTACGAACATATATGGATCATGACGCCGTACATAGCGTTAGTAGAATATTCCGGATTATTCCAGACCTATTGATAATATTCGTCATAAATAATATAAAACAGTCATGTAAATAATGGTGAAGAATTGAATTTTATTTGCTAATGAGCTCAAACTGAAGGTAGTTTCACTTGTTTTCAAGGAACATATTAACGAAGATAATTAATTTCAATTAACATTTGCATTTAAATATGAAAAATCTTGATTAGCATACGAGAACGTAATACTTTAGCTATTCAAAATATTCACTAGATAGGTAAAAGCGATTGATAATAGATATACGTATTTGTTTTCTATCGAGAGTCAGAACTTTCCAACTTGAGTCACAAGATTTGCATCTACACGTTTACTTTCCAACTTTTCTCTTCTCTTTCACCCTGCATCCTGTTTTTATTTCCCGACGATGCTTTCGTCATACATTTGCATCGCGTTGACGAAAACCATTTCGGAGGAAATATTTCTGGAAAACGTCGAAGTCGGCTGAAAAAACACGCCATTTCCATTTCTAAATGGTACATATTATTTTCTGATCCGCGAATGAATATTTTTCATCCGATTTAATTTATTTGTTCATATGGAGTCGAAATGTTTCATATTGTTGTCGACAATATACAGAGAAAGTTTGCAGAGAACAAAAATGAACATAATAATAAATGACAGCGAAGTCAATAAGCCGAATTAAATATGAGGAGTAAATTTTTATATAGACTTCTATTTATCTTTGAGTAATTGATTTGGGCAATATCTTCATTTCTCTTTTAATAGCGTTGCGATCGGAGAACGCCTCTGCATGGCGTGTTAGCGCTCGAATACCACTGGGATCACTCGCATAACTGACATTAACTGACAAATTTAATCAGTTTACCTAGAATTTCGAAGTATCGAAAGATGACACATGAAAACACTAATATATAGACGTTACTTCAGTGACGCAACAAGAAATCCATTAAGAATGAACATAAACATACGATATTTAAAATAATGATCTTTTAAAATGACTTCATCTTCCAGTGAAGTATGATTACTTCAATGTAAAATAAATCAGGCATATGATCCAATGAACGCATTATGATCCAATATTTTTTCCAATGCTGTAATTTCTGATATATATGAACAATTATAATCTTAAGTAATTTTCTTAAGTAATTATAAACTATAATCTTAAGTAATCTTATTAACTATAATCCTAAGTAATTATAAAAATAAAAGATCTGGGATTTGAAATATCGATCTCTTTGACAATTCCAGTATTAGTCACCATTAGAGTGTAGATTCATGTAGAATAGCTATATATAAAGTATTCAGCTTTTAATTTTCCAATTGTAATCTCAAAAATATAAACTTGCATAAAAATACACAATTTTGCCATTAAAAACATATAGTACCGTAATCATAAAGCGACTAATTATCAAGAAACGAGAAAACAAGGGAACGTCTGAATTTACAAAAATCAGAGTTTATTTTTAGCAATGAGGCAAATGTCAAGCTAGACAGAGCATCTTTAACACGAATCATGAATGTCAGCCAAGTCATGCGTTTCATTTCATCTGTCGATGTGTTCTCGCGCGATCCAGGTTCACCTCTCGATCCCTCGATTGACACGAGATCGATTCAGCTCGTATACTTGGCATAACTTTACGCGTTATGTGTACGAGTTGCTGATATCAGTAACGCAAATTTATTGCTCGTTACGTCAACGATCATTCTTTTCCTTCTGCTTGTTTTATTTCCGCACTTTCAGCATCATTCGCAGAATCGTGAATTGTTTATTAAAAATGATCACCAAGAGCGATACATCGAGATTCTTTCTTTCTCTTGTTATTTTATTGACCATATGCAATCACATTTGTTCTGATACGTCGCCTGATATTACTGAAAATCATGCGATTCTTCCTCTTTTTTTTTTTCTATTTACTGATCAAACACGGACCGTGCATACACTGGTGGATAAAAAAAAGTTTAAGAGATAAGCGATAAGAAAATATATTTTTAGAATACAGTTATATTTCATATGAGCAATAAATAAGTGAAAAATATATACAGTGATTCTTTGCGAGACAATAAAAAAAAAGAAGTATAAAGGATAAAATTTCATTTATATTATTTTGTTATATTATTTTGTTATAAACTCATAAAATTATTTATATTCATTCTTTATCTCCGAGTTAACTCCTGAAGTAATTTACTCTAGAATTAACTACGAATCGTTACAAACGTGTTCGATCAATTTTCTTGAACACCGAGCCTTCAACAGAGAGATTAAATTGCATGTTATTCAGTTGCATCTTGTGCATTTCAATATAATCAGTATAATGTGTTATTTAGCAGATTATTAACGATCATAGAATGTTTAGTAGATTATTAACGATCGTCTCGTAGATTATTAACGAGTGTCTCTACTGTAAACTATTTTTTATCCGCCGCTGTAATTATCGATCTTTTCCTCTTTTTGTTGCATTACTTTCAAGGTACTTCCATAGTTAGAACCGTCACGTGTTCAGGTACCCATGACCCCATGTTGCGAACATTCAGCCGATACTTCAATGTTGCGCGACTATTAGCTTCGCACTACGCGGTCAAAGTTCAAAGGGTTTCTTGCACACTTTGAGGCAATTCAAATGAAACTTAAGCGATCGAAATGACCGTTCGTTTACGCGATTATCTATCAAATGGATTTTCACGATGTAACAAGTGGCTGCTTGTTTTTACATCGTTAAGTGTATCACGTCATGGCAAATCAATTTGCGAAAACAGATTAATACAGTAAATCCCGTGGAACTTGTTTGTATATGAAATTTCGAAGTTATTTAAATATGATGATTCTGCAACGTTTCGTGTCCACCTGTATCGGTTTTACAAAACTCGTATCGATGTTTAGAAGAAATCGTGTCGTGATTTTATTCGGTTTTGTGTTCGATGAAATTTTAACTGCTTTTGGAGATGATTTCATCGACCCTGGAATCGCGCTTTTGCATATGTCACATTTCTCGAAAAAGCAAGGAGTTTTATAACAAGATGTTTTCATTGAAATAATCGATAGCCTTATCGGCAAATTGAAGACGAAGTAAATGGATTCATAGTAAAAGACTGCGGTTGGTTAATGGCTAAGAACGCGTCAGCATGTTTCCAAGTTTTGCAATTTATATTTTTAACAATGAAAAATGGTAATCGTGAAATGATTGAAGATGATTCTATAATTATGTATCCATACATGGTTTAGTAAGAATTTTTATATTATATTTTATAATTGTAAATTGAGAAATTCATTATTTTACAACAATAGAATGACGAACAATATAATGAAGTGATATAAATTCTTTGATAAAAAAAAAAGGAAGAACAATTACGTAGATTTGTATGTAATAATGCTGATAATGCTGTATTATAAAATGCGCATACGTGGGATACGGAAAAGATCACTAGAGGATTAGAATTCCACCTATCAATTAGATTTCCATCAATAGAAACTATGAATCACATATTCTTCTAACTATCCGATTTATTTCTTTATGTAAATCTTGCGAACAATCGGAACGGATTAAGGATAAAAGGAGACATAAGAGATAGAATTGACGAGTACTTTCTTATTTATTAAATTATTAAGATTCTATCCGAGTTATGGACAAAAGACCCACTCATACTTACAATGTGAATCTTCAAATAGCGGATACTTTTATACTCGTACGCACGGCGACCAATAATATATTTCTTTCTTTACGTATTCAGAATGTAAACTCTACATTGTTGAATTTCAAATGTTTCGTTATTTAATTATTCAGTATTCAAATTATTCTAATATTCTAATGATCGTGGGGAAAGGCATACACGTATATTGTATACGACCACAATTGAGATACGATTATAATATATTATATGGTGTGTATTGCGTTCTTATCACAAAAGGAATTGTTCAAAAATTTATGTGAGAAAAAGGTTAATGAATATCTACAAAGCAGGAAAAGCGTCGACGCGGTTGTTTTAAACGGCCCATTAGCGAGTCGCGCAGTCCATCGTTTACTTTTCTTCCATTAAACGACGTGTTCGTGGTGCAAGGTATAAAATTGGGTTAAGGTTAAGCCATGTAGCCGGCGGTGTAATCATGTAACAGTTGCAGAGCCTCGTTGGCGCAACGATCGACGAAGAAATCGCCGGGCTCGAAAACGCGGGTTCTGTACGGGGAAACCCGACGGTGTATGCATAATTTATGACGGGGGGGGCCCCGCGTGTATTAAATATAGAGTAGTGTTAAAATGTCACGCACGGCCATAATGCAAGCACGCGATAACGCGTGCGTGGCTCGCGAAACGCGAAACGGGAAAATATACGCTCGCGGATCGATCCTTCATCCAGGAAGTCGCCCCGCTGTGTTCCATGAAACCGTACACCGGCGATACGGAAAGTCGATACGAGAATCGTTGCTGGTTAATGCTCAATTCTTCTTGCCCCCCCTGCGTTCTTATTTTTAACAACCGGAATGATCGAGCGTGCACGTGGCCGTTTATTCGATATTCCTGCGCGTCGTCCACTTAAAGCGTTAGTGTTCCGCGAGTACTGGCTGACGCGAGACAGAGCAAAGAGCTTTTGCTAAAAACAGAAGCAGAATGGATCTCTATTTGACGATCGAGCAAACATCTCGCGTTCATCCGATTAACCGTGTTCCGACTCCGTGCTCATGAATATTGATTCCATTGAGTTGTTTGCGCACGATTTAAAGAGAGAATGGCTTGCAGAGGATTTTAATGGACAACGAGGAGATGTGCGTGCACGAGAGCCGTGCGTTGATCGTGGACGCAACAATGTTCCCCAACGTAATAGTGCCAGGTATTTATCAATCTCGAGTAAAATCAGCCAGCGAGAATAAATCTTGATTCTATATGTTTTAAGGGGTTGGTATGTGTTGTATAATTTGTCTTTCGTATTTCGTTCGATTTGACAATGTCGTGTTTTAATTTTTGCTTCGTAAGGCAGAACAATAGCAGACGAGATAAGGTACCTGTTAAGTTAAGGTTGAGCGCGAGACTGAGTAAACTTTTCCTAATTGCACGCGGCAATATTGTGCTGGCAAATATGTTATTGCAACGCGAATGCACAAAGGACGAAGACATCGATGCTGAAAGACGAACGTTGATTTAATTCGTAAGCTGCCGCAATTCGCTCACGTTTCTCACATTTGGAATCACGTTTCCTGCATGACACGTGTGTTACTGCGTGCGGCGCCGCTGTTCGAGTTATGAAAACCACGCATTTCTTGATCCGTAATTATATGCAATGTAAATGATCTCTGACTGATCTTTGATCTGATGTCGATGAAGTTAATGTTGAAAATATGTGATGTAGTGTGGAACAGTAGTATAATTACGAAATGTATTTTACTAAAGTAGTAGCACATAGTAACAAATATATTGAGGATTTTGAAATATTTGTGAAGAATTTGGCGACATAACGTGCAAAAATATTGCGCTATTGTATTTCATAACTATACTACTTTACTGTATTGTACTATTAAATAAATTAAAACTTTTATGTTTTATTAAAGCAAAATATCTAGATATATCTAAATTTCATTTTCATAAAAATATTAAATTCCAACAGGTTTCATCTTTATAGGAATATAAAGTGAGATCAATATCCACGACCTCTGTAATGGATATAGTAATTTTTTAAAAAGAAACTTTCTTTATATCTTATTATATATACGAAGAATTCATGTTTTATTTCTATAGCAATATCAAATTTAAACGTAGCATGTAATTCTGTCCGCACGAACGTTCGAAATTTCTCTCCTAATCGACTAACTGTTCTATATTGTCGTTGTCGTTATTCTAAACGCACTTCATTCGTTTCAATCCATCACGTCTGCTTATACGCTGTACAATTACTCAAGGTTTTATCTTGCATCGCTCCCGTCGCAACGTCCATTGTTTTGCTATCAACTGAATGGCTGGTAAAAACAGGGGTTATTAATTTAATATCACACCGTATTCTAATCAATCTCTATGATAACTTAATGACTTCCTAAAATAATGCAAGTGCTATTACCGTGTCTGTTATAAATACCATGTGTATGTTACACGTAATTCTTTTCAGATTTTATGACAATATTTAATTTTACTCTTTGTGATATAATAATACAGTTTGTGTAATATAACAGAGGTGAATTTTAGATGCGTCTAAACTAGGGAATTTAGATGCGTATCAGTGCTTCGAGAAATGATTGATAGTAAATGCAAATATGACATCTGTATACTGTCGCTCAAAAGTTTTAAACATTTTAATTTCAATAATCAGTATTTATCGTACATCACAAAATTTTTAAATTAATTGTATTTAATATAATATAATAAAGTTAATATATTATAATAAAGTCTGATTTTCCCAATGTTAAAATAAATATAATATTTGTTCTTCGGTTTTTAAGCCGATAAATCAGTTAAGATAATCAGATGTTTACACGTAACCACTTACGATTAATATCTTGAATTATCAACTTTCTTCTATACTGACATCATAATATCTCGATAATTCTATCATTGATGGCGTGACAATTTCACGATTCATCGGATATTGCGTCGTAGTGTTCAAATTAGTTTTTTTCATATGGAACAAAATAACTCGTGACTTGAATATATTTTTGAAGATGAGAGATGTCGAGTCATTTGTATGCACGATCTTACATTTTTAATTTATACAGCTTTACATTTTTACGGAGATAATCAAAAAAATGGAGCCAGGGTAAAAAATTATTTCACCTATTAAATATTACAACAAATATTGTACTTTAAATGTTACATTTTCATATCTCCAGATTTTCTACTAGATGCACCAAAATCCGTAATCAAGTTATTTATACATATCATTAATTCGTCGTACGAATAATAAATTATGTCTTGTTTAAGTGATTGATCTCTAAAAGGTCAAGGAAGCAGAAAAAAAAAGAAAGAAAAGATCGACATAAAAACATCAAAGTGGATGGAAACGAAAAACAAGATTTCATTCGCAGCGTCATGTACCACGCCCATAGATAATTCTTGTTAATCGGACTACAGTTAATTCACAGTATTTTCTTTAGAGAAGAAACTTCCTCTAGCTAATTGAATATTTTCTTTTCCGTTTGAGAAATGATCGGCCTGTGCATGGTATATTGAAAAGTAACGGCTTGGTTACGTTACCCGCTGGGAGAACGGAGATACAGCGTAACAGAGGTCTGTCTGATCTGCTACGGTCTGATTTTACTGTTGAGAAAATTCACACGTACGTAAGACGTTTATCGCGAGCACTCATTATTGTTCGCTTTGAAGTCGAGCAACGAGTCGTGTCAGTAATTTTAGGATAAAGATTTCCTTTCTGGCCTGTATTTTTCAATGTTAGAAACGTTGCAATAGTTGGTAAACGGCTATTTGCAATATGCTCTCATGAAATATTCATCATTCGGTAGATTAACTAGTGGCAATAAAAGCTTGTCGATGTCCTTGTTGACGACTTATTACAAATACAAGAAGCATAATTTATATGTAAATTTTTATATAATTGTTATATATTACGTGAGTTGTTGCCATTAGCAATTTTATTAAATTAGTTGCCAGTGCGTAATTTACATTCGCACGTATTAACGATAAAACGTTAAAAAGGATTCTTTAATGTTTGTTAAAAAAAGAGGTTTCATTTTCTTTTCTTTCTGACTAGTTCCAGTTCTTGTTTAGCTTTTATCTTCACATAGGTGCTGGATTTTCGTAATTACGTAAGAGAAACTGCCACGACGTTACAAATAGCAGAATCAAACAGTCAAGCTACTCTATTTTTAGGTACCCATTTAACACTGCCTTTCCATACAGCCATTCAACTAAAGTTTTTTTATTCGAAATCGATTTTTGCATCTTGTTTTTTCTTTTGTACTCCATGTTAAGATATTTTGAAATTCTAACGAGTATATTTCTGAAATTATTGTTAATCCTAAGTGCAAGCTGTGTTCGAAAGAAATTACATATCGATTGCATGCACGTCTCAAACTCACCGGATAGAAAATATGAAAAAAGTATATTATTTCCTTTGTTTCGAAAAATTCCATAAAATTATTTACCGTCGCTCGTGCCTGAATATGTGCGAATTTAATATTTCGCGATATACACGAAAATACCAATATTTACATATATTCGAAAGATATCTTCCGACCAAAAATGTGTTAAACTTAATCTTTGCCTTCTGCGTAACAGCATAAAGAGAAGAAAAGAAAGTCTATCGACATAATGAAATATTCCATAATTTCCCGGGATAACTATCAAATTCTATTCTACTATATTCATTCTTTATAACGACTTCAGCGATTTCACAGCTAAACATTCGTCCTTGACCATTAATTTACGTACTCGTGCAAATGAAAATCAATTTCACGTGTTTGCTTGTCACGCTCTCGTCTCGGAGTAACCACGTGCAAAGCGATGAAAAAATCACGCGACGATACGTCGAACAGACGAGGGAAAAGAAAGATTTTATATAGCGCTGCACGTGTATTTGGGCACACTTATTTATGACGAGTGAATGATAAATTTCAAAAATATCATCCCTTATCTTTATGATTTCCGTTATCAGTCGTAATCCCAAGGTATAAAGACGTAACTCTGTGTGCCGCAGATACGTATAACTCTGTGTTTTAGTCGTACGGGAAGTGTTACGCACAGCAAAGTACGAATTTACTCGTGTCTCCGGGTGTCATTTTCGAATATGGACGAACTTAATGGTAAATTCTTTGAAACGGAGCTTGAAATTATCGTAGTAACGGAACTCGTGATCATTTTAATCGTTCTTCGCTCGTACCAAATTCGCAAGTGTGTTTCACGTTTTCAAGTGTTTTCGCAAACGAAAGCGACATCAAATCGTGGAATTGTTGTGACTGTTGCATCATATAAATATTAAATAACAGTTAAATATAAAAAATATTTAATTATTTGAAGAAATAATGTGATGTCAATGCTTGGCGGACTTTTGTTCTTCTTGGACTTCCTTCTTTCCACGTTTGTCACTTTTATCCAATCGTCATTGTTAAATCCGACTTTCAAGTCTTTTTTGTTCTGAATTTCGTGCAAGAAATATTTCAAAGAAATATCTAAAGTCAACTTATATAATCATATAACTCATATTAATATTTATACTCTCGTGTTCATTAATATTTATATTCTCGTAGTGTGTAATTACGCCTCTACACTTGCTAACGTTATTATCATAATTCTCGTACTACCGAGAGATTCGATTCAAAATGTTTGTCCGTTCATTCAAGTGTTTAACTCCTTCGGAACTATAATGTGAAAATAGAATAAAAATCCTCATCATACAAAGTATTAATAAATCGATAGTTCCCCTAACAGCTACTAAGCTAATTTTTACTTCAATTACATGCGATTAGATGAATAAATTTACCGTCTCGTACGAATGAACAACGTCGTTTGGGGGGCATCGTTCGCTTTTCATAATCGGCGAAACAGATACATTAATAATTGATTTTTATTTCTAAAATAGCATATGGCGGGACGAAGGAATGACAGATATCGATCGTGCGATTGCTAATGCCCGAGATGGCCTACCTTTTCCGATATATATATATTCATTCCCGCGCAGCCTACTTCTTTCTCTTTTCCTCTCTTCATTTCTAAAATTGAGGAATATTTACAGACTTTTATTTAGCGCGGGCATATTTCTTTAACATTCAAAACAAACTCGTCACGCTGATTGATTTATATCTCACCGTGTTTGCGCGCTTTTCGCACGTTGATTAGATTCAGCGTTATTGAATCTCGATAAACTTACTCAAATGCCACGTGTAATTAACTATCGATTTCTTGTATTTAGATCATTAAACAACGTGACAATTAAGAAGTATCCTTTGCTTTTTAGACGAAACTTCCCTCCCATATTTTTTCCGAGAAAAACGAAATATTATAATTTGTAAACTTGATCTTCAAATATAATTTGTTGAATTTAAGTGAAGAGTTTTGAATTAACTTAATTGAAATTAGAATTTAGTGTAAAAAGTTTGTAGCCTTCATTTCTTTCTTTAAAACTTTGACATGTTTTAAATTTTTTAGCAACAATTGGTCAGAGTATCTTTGAATTTGAAGAAATGAATGTACTTTAATATACAAAAATATACAAAAAAAACACGAAATACATTTGACAATATTTAAAATATAAAACGATTTTTTAGATTTCGTTCTTTTTTTTCACCAAGATACGAACTCATAATTATTCGCAATCTAACAATAAATGTACAGACAATCATAATCAACGAGAATAGAACAACATCATGTTGAGATAGTTGAGATAGTAGATACCAGGAAAAACGTGAAATACGTTTGAAATACGTTTTGATGAAAAGGTGTCAGTTTCAGAGCAGGAATTAAACGTCGTTGAGATTTTTTACGTGACAGCTGGTAATAAACGCTTTCACGGGTGAAAATAAACTCCCGTTGGAACGGTTTGTCTTTTCTCTGGAATTATTGTTCATCGTCCGTGTAATCCTTGATTTTATTGTACTTACCAAACTTTTATTATACGTCACTGTCACCAGACAGACAATTGCTTTGTTCGACTAACCCACTTCTGTGAATAAGATTTTAAAGTACCTTTTACCCGTCGAATATGTGAGATCGTTAACGATCCTTTTCGTCAATTGTATTCATGCAGTTCTTTTTAATAGTTACATAGCAACCGTCGCTATTATGCTATTATTACAGAACCTCGATATATATATTTTATTTTTAGACTTTAATTTCGCAAGGATTGAATTTTACTTTACTAATTTAAATTTTATCTCAAATGAAATATTGTATAACAAATTGTTCTCTTTCGCACTATTTTCACAATATGTTATTTTCTAACATTCTATATAGTGTGAAGTGTAAAAAATATGAAGTAGATATTTCATTCAATTTAAAATTTGAATTAGGATTCATTTGCTGCATATATCGAATAATTAAGAGTGCAGAAAGAAATAAGAGAATAAATATATATTAGATCTCTAAATTAAAATTATAATATTCTCACTTCCTCTTTTACAATTTTTTCTCTCATTTTCTACACAACATGAAGTATAAAGTGTTCGATTTAAAGTTCATTGGAATTGTTGTGTGTATTAAAGTTTTATGAAGTCATTAATGTTAAAGCGATTAAAAGTGTAAAAAAGAGAAGGAAAAAATAAATGCACGTACGTCTTCTCTTAAAATACTATGCTCGAGGTATATATCCGACGTTGTGCATGATTTGAAACAAAGTTCAGAAGCAGAGTTCTGTCTAACATGTCATCGCATATCGCACAAATCGATATCGTACAGCTGGAAATAAAGTACGTGGCAATATCCTCGCCGCAGTTATATATAGCCCCATTTTCTAAAATTGACCAATGCCACAAATAGCCGGTGCTCTTCGTCCACGTATATACGTCAATTTAATCAAATCGCGGAAGCAGAATATAAAAGTCTAAAAATAAACATGCATGTACGTAGCGTTTCGTTTTTTCTAGACCGAAAGTTTTTCTTATCATAAATGTCTCTAATAAAGGATGTACACACTTTCCACTTTGCGATAAATATAGTTCCGAGTCTATTTATAAAATTCAAAGAAATATATAAATCGAGGAATTTGTGCATAAATCAACAATTTCCAGAGTTTGTTTCTTCGTGCACATGTTATCGTCGCTTGTCTCATTGTCTAATGATTTAGTGTTCACAAATTAGTGTTCAAAGTAGTAAGAGTGAACTTCGGATGAAATTTGAGTTTATATTTCTGGGATCCGTTTGAATTCAGACTTGCTGGATAAAAGATTCGGATTGAAGTGCTCCAATTAAAAAATTTAATTGAAATTAAACTCGGACTAAATTTTGAGCTCAATCGGTAGACACTCAATATTGTGCAAGAACGTAGCAGCGTCATTATTCGAAGAAAAAGTCGGGATTTCACGTTTCCTCTAACGCAAAATGTTTCCTCTAACGCGATAGTAACGAGAGATAGTTTGAAATTGTTACAGGAAATTGTTGCAAAACTAATCTCTATTTGCGATTTCAGCAATGTCCTTGGAGGAGTCGCGGCGTTCGCAGCGTCCGTACAGGTACGGGATGGTTCTCCTTTGCGTTGGTGCACTGATAAACTGGTTAGGCCTCGCGGAGAACTACGTCGAACCGGTACGATATGTCGGTGTTGCTTGCATAATCGCAGGCGCTCTTCTCATATGTGCCGCAATGTGTTGTTGGCTGCACGCACCGCCAAGTAGGGCAACCATGCACACACAACACACAAACCATCCAATCACAGCACAGGTAAGTCTTCGTTTTTTTAATCCATGACAATGATGATTCTACTTTTTTTTTCTTTTTCTTTGTTTGTCGAAAATGTAAAAAAAAAAAAAAAAAAAGAAAATAAAACGTGTTGTAGTAAAGAAACTTCTCACGAGTCGAGATTGAGAATAAGTTTGAAGGATGACGGGATTGATGATTCCAATTTCGTGAATGAATTCATTTTACACACAACGTGTATGGTGTTTCGATTACTTTTTTGAGTTGTCGAAAACATGAAACTAGAGAAGTACAATTGTAATTAAATACCAAACTATACCTTTAGTTACCTAGTTGAAAGGTGAAATTGAATCTTTTGCAAGCAATAACGTTCTAAGAATATTTGAGATCAATATTATACATTTATATTTGATAACATCTAAAAACTAACGTACATACGTATATTTAATTTACACATATAGTAGAGTCGAACAAATTCTGCTTTAAAATTAATCGACAAATAATATTTTTGAATCATATCCAAAGTCGCAGTTCAATAAGTATTACAAACAATTATTTATAATATCACTTACGGGATAAAGTAGCATAAGCCGTAGAAAAATTTTCGAAGAAAGATTGATGTGTATTTTATAAGTACAATGGAACGAGACGTGCCAATCTTCACATCAAAAATCTAATACTTGATTTCACATTCTACTTTAAACATTGTATTAAATATTGTTTCGCCAAGAAAATTGCAACATCTAAATATTGGGATTGGACTGTTGAAATTTATTTAGAAAATAAAAGAGTTTGTACTAATTACCTTTATTAACTTATTTTTCAACGGTTTAATCAAGAAATGGTGTTTTTAAAGATGCTGTTTTTAAGGACAAACAGCATAATAGCTTTTTTGCAAAACTATCAGTTCAGACTTTGCTCGCCTACCTATATGATATATATTTATATTCCGAGATCGAGAAATCTGTCCGAACGTTCCTTCCCTCGGAGTGACTCAGGATCCAAGTAGCTATAATTACCATCTGCCAAAAGAGCAATTGAACGTAGGCGATTCCATTTCACGCGTCGAAGTCTGTTAACTTTCTCCGCAGACAGTTCGATTTACCACCGGTGAGCGTTTCGTCGCAGTTTAAAGGTTTTGAAACGTTATTTTTGATTGTGGCCTTCGAAGATTACAGCGTTTTCTTTTTTTTTTCTCTCAAATCGATCCGCGTCAACCCCCCTATTATAGATTGCGAATCAGCCGCCTATAGCACGAAAACAGCACGCAGGAGAACCGTAATTATCAGCGTTTGTAAACAGCCGGCGAGATAAAAATAATACAGTGTGGTCGAAATCGTTTGCTGCAACCTTTCCTCGCCTCGTAAATCGCTGGCTAGCTCTTGAAACCGAGATAGTTAACACACGCCATGTGGCGTTCCGTAAATCAAGGATAATTGTCGTGAATACGGATTGATTCTTGATACAGATTGGCTTCGTTAGGACTGAAAATTTATACATGATGTTTTTTTTAAAGGTTCGGTAAGAAAATGATCGAGATTGACTTTCGTTAATTTGTTTTGTTCCTATTTAGAAGTTTGGAGCATAATTTTCTTTTCAGATGAAAGCAGTTATAAAATTTTCTGAGATATATATAAGACACTGAAATATTTATATTAACTTAAGAAAATGGTTATTTCCTTTGAAACTCAAGATATTCCAAACTTTCGAGCGAGTATAGTTGCAACACACGACACATAAAGTACTGCTTGTAATTATTTCAGGATCTACGAATATTAAAAGATTGATAAATTCTGTTAATAATTTATGTTAATATAAAATGTGCAGCAAAGTATAAAAATTGAAAATGAGAAATTGAATTATCTTCGAAAAAACAAATTTGTTTACACTTAACTGCAAGATCCAGATAGATATCAATATCGATGAAAAATCAATACAATGATAGAACAATAATGATAACAACATAACAACAAGGGTTATCAAATTATTATCTAGAAGCATATATACTTTTTCGATCAATTTTCACAAAAACCGCGTTGAAGTTTATTCCTTTGTGTTGAAACATAACACTCCATAACGATACTTCACGATGCATCCTGTCTTAAAGGAAGTATTACAAAATCACTTCTGTTTCAACCGTGTATGAAATTACATAGTGTAAGAAATTAATGACCTGCGATATATATTTTACAAATCAAACGAGGATATCTTCGCGATACCTTGCTGTCGAAAGTTACATTATGCCAGTTTTTACGATCACCAAAGGAATACATTTCTACGTAAAGCTTGAAATTCGTAGCTCTCGAATAATCACGAGCATTATCAGAGACGCGATCGGGCCATTTTCATCAGGTATCGCGTAAAACTCTGGGAAGCAGACGATCAGAATCCTGTGATTTTTACTGGACGAAGCCTTTTATCGCACGTTTCCTTTCATCTTCTCGCGATTCCATCGTATCATTGTCGCCAACATTTCCTTTTGTCCTTTCCGCGCCATTGTGTCCACGCTTTCATTCCAACTCGAATCTTAGTCGTGCAGAAATTCAGCTCCCCTTCAGCAAGCTCTGTCCCTCTTTCTTTCTTTCCTTCTTTTTCGTTTCCACCACCTCCTCTGCTGCTGGTTTCTTTCTTTTCGCTTCGCCTCTAAAACGGTATGTAGGCGTAGTATAGTCGCGTGGCTTAGAATAGCAGCCGTTCCTCTTTTCGTTGCACGCGGGGAAACAATAGAAATGCAAAAGGTCTGGCTGTGGCTCGATGCATAAAGGAGGTCGCTGGTAGTTACAGTGCACTTATCTACTACCGTAAGGATATTCACCCGGAAGCACATATCTATATTTATCGGCGATGCTATCCTTCGATTATTCCGTCGTGTCGACAGAAGTTTGCGATCGACACACGTGAAATTGTCACCAATTTTTCGTAATAAAATAATTGACATTAAAAGTAAAGCCATCGATATTCTTCGATTATTCTGCCACATCGTAGTTGCAATTGACAGATAAAATAGTTAACAATTACCTCTTATGCAATTATTCCTTTACGATGGAATTATTAAAGAATTATTTAAAAATAATACATCGTTATCGCAGTTCTGCAGAATTCAATAAGATAGAACATAGATAAAAAGGCACGTAAGTGTGTGTATTTACTGATGATGATCGTTTGATTATTCTATCACGTTGTAGTTGCAATCGAACATATGAACCAGCCGGTAATTTTCTCTTACGTGATCATCTTTATACCACTTTAATTGACAATAAAAAAAAAATAGACATCGTTAGTGCAGTTTTAAAAAATTTAATGAAATAGATTATTTTGCAAGTGACCTTATACAGTTAGTAAACAGAATGTAAATTTAATGACGCATTGATGTTCAGGTATGCATTCTGATTATCAATTTCAATTGCTAATGATTCTATTATACATCATTAATCTTTCATTACGAAACTTATTAACTATACTTAACGATATGTATACAATTATACTAGAGTTGTATTTATTCAAGTGTATGCAATATATACAAATTTATATTTTACAGATATCAAAAAAGTATTTGAACATTCAATTATCCATTACATTATCAGGTTTCAATATTCATTAACTGAAATCATTTTTAATATATGATACACAATGAAGATTACGTCAAATTTTTTTTTTTCATTAGACATGTATTTACAATAAATATCTCGTAACTTCTATGCACAACATCACAATTGATTTCAAATTTTAAATATAATCATAATAATCGTCTCCAAGTTTGCCGTGTAACACACATAATATATATCCAAATGTTCAGACACTTTCACGAATCACTGTGAATAATTAAATTCTTCCGCAATTAACACAAAATACAAACAACAACGGAATGACAATCTACCTTCTACTTTCTTCATAACACGACTCTTACAAAATTATTTCCAAACCACGAAACAGCGGATCGTTTACCAATCCAGAGTCACGAACGAAATCGTCAACAGGGGCCTGAACGATCGTTGCAAAATATCTCTCTGGTTCGCGAACGATGCAATCAGGCGACTCGTAATGCCAGCGGTGAGGAGTTGATGCCGGTTTCGCCAGAAGAAACATCGACACTGACTCTTCAGTCATTCACCCAGACCAGATTCAACCTGACCAAACGATTATGCAATTTTTCGCGAAGCTTTCTTTACAGCCTCGAATAACCCGCGTTATTTTCATCCTGTTCTGTATCCGGCGTACGTAACTGTGAGCGATAAACTGTGCGCCCTTTCGTGACTTAGATCCGGCCGGCTATACAGTCTCTAAAGAGTGTCGAGGCGAACGTGTAAGCGGATATCTATAGACCAGCCGCGATATATATAGAAGAATGACCATTTCGGGGTTAATATCCTTGCGGTCGGTCGGCGTAATGCCGCCGTAAAGTATTAACGATAGGCGATAAGAGCGAGGAACTGATCACTTTCGTAAGGCAGCCATTGATCATATTTTCGAGTGAATATAGTGTTCTATTGAATTGCCGAATATAGTATTCATTTCTTTATAATTCACCACCGTTTTGCATGTCTTCGATCTATCGTACGTATCTCATAAATTCTTTCGCATCTTGATTCGCAGATCGACGATCCGATTCACGTAATTTCCATCGAGGAACCATCTAGTGGGTCGAGACAAAAACCGCCAGACTACGAGGCGGTCACGGACGCGCCACCTAGCTACGACGATGCCATCAAATTGAATCCTAGTCAACTACTTACGCCGAACAATAGCAGCACGTTGTCGTTGCCAACTGTGCACAGCATGGTCCCTAGAACCGTGGAGATTGTCTCTAGGGACCCAACGCCGTCACCTCCGCCACCTTACGCAAGGTAAAATTCGACTAACACTGGCTTTGCTTTCGCTTCAATGAAACACGTTCGATCATTCTGATAATGGTTAATGGATTCTCTGATAACGCTAATGGGTAGGATATAAAAAGGACAGGTGACGTACTGTTTCGTTCGTAAGTCGTTTCCGAGAACTAGTTAACTCGACCTCGTTGTGGCGCGTAGAGTAGGGGTGAAACGTAAGTCCGAGAATTCCGTACACGGGAAAGAACTATGACGTGATTCGTGATGCAATGGATTGCTCTACAAAACTTGTGCTGACGTCACGGTATAGTGCTAACGTGGCACTGGTTGCGGTAGAACTGTGATTATCTAAACCTTTCTTGGAGTTACTCAAGGGGTAGTTTCCTCACTGTCTACGATTCTTCAGTTCAAATAGTAAATTCAAGGTATAATTCAAGAAATGGTTTATCGTACATATCTATAGTTGTAGAATTTGATTAAGCTTCTACTGAAAATCGTGTAATTCTTCAAGATTGGAATTTTTATAAAAAGTTTAATAATAAAATTTAACCCTCTGCTGCGTTTCCCTTTTATATTCCTTTTGACGATAAGATTGCAAATTTTACTAAATCAGTAAAGTATTCCTTTAGCTGTAAGTTGAAATGAAATTAAAATACTGATGCTACGCAGTAAATGATTTATCAAAGGATATCAAAGTTTAAGTATAATTTCACCCCCGATAATCTGCCTAAAGCATAATTTCACTTAAATCATTTCAAAATGAAGTTAACTGAATCATAAATACTCTATATCTTAATTTAGTTTATTTTCACAAAATCTACCTTGGACTTCATGTCCTGAATGGTTGTTAAATTCTCAATAGATGGTTAAATCTTCATACTCGCGTGCGCAATTTTTTAATTTTAGTATTTACAAATAATATTTCCTCATTCCAGGTGAAATATTTGACAGTACCGCACATGATCGCAACGAAAGAGGCTTGCGAAGTGCTGGAGGTCCATCGTACGCCAGCTGAGTACGAGAACACAAAGAAGGGTGCAAACCACTCCGCCGCTCGTCGTAGCTGTCACGGCACACCGTCAAGAATGCGAGTGCACTCGAAGAACTATTTACGACGAACAGTAATACATCGTCGTAGGCACTGGACCTCGTTTAAGTAGACTAAAGATATTTGTGTTCAAAGAATCAAACGGACAGTCCTCCGGACGGGACCCCGCTTTTATCACTGAATCAACCACAACGACACGATCGAAGCTAGAATCGAAGATACGAGCCGCGTTTCGTAGTTACGTTTGATCGATGGATGCTACGTATGAGAAAGGGATGACGAAATTTTCTTTTTTTTTTTTTGTTTTCTTTTTTCATTTGCGAGAACTTCAGAAACTTGAAGGAAAGGATTGAAAAAGAGTCAAAGGAGACTGTAAACATTGTGCCTTCCGTAAAGCGCCTCGTTAGAGAGACTCAAGCCTAAATGTTTGCACGAAATATTCATGACTCGATAGATAGTTCCAGAACTGTCGAAACTGTCAAGTGGACTTGCCGATAAAATCCGTACGAGTTGTCGATTTGATCTGGCTAATTTAGAGCAAATCTAAAGTACGAATCGTCGACAGCTCGATAAGCTTCGTGCATTTATACGTTATTCTATCTGTACGCAATTTACGTGTCCCTTGTTGTTAAAAGAGGAGTAGCATTTGCTGAATCGTCGAAGAAAATCGGTGAAGCCTCTGAGAGACGCGAAGAAATTAAAGGAGAAACGTAGGAGAAAATGACCTTGAAAATGATGTTCGGAAGTGGAAACGTTCCGAATTTCATCGCTTAGACAATCTGCGCGGCTTCTTAGAGGGAAATACGTTTGCTTGCCATATGATTTCGATGATTGTCATTTTTTACACCATGTACATACATACCACCATGCGAAACTCGTTCGCACGTCCATTTTATTGTGATATATTGCGATGATGCAGGTATTATATGATACGACACTTATGTCGCGTACGATCTTGCTTTGTGAAACAAGACTCCTTTTTTTTTATAATGAAAATGCAAAATATAATGATAGGCAACTTTTAAACACGAGATTTCTTTTCTATACCAATCCCTTGATTAATCCAGTGCTTCCAATAAGATTCGAAATGACAGAATATCAATAGGCTCATTAGACTGTGAGCATTTGTATAGAATTTGAAAATAAAAATTGGAGAGAATGCGTACAACATGAAAAAGTGTATAAAATATCCCATATTTGATACGTAAAATAATTTTCTACCGAGATTCTATTTTTTTATGGACAAAAATATTCGTTTGCATTGTTTAATTATACAGAAAATGTAATGTTCATGTTTCTTAAGTTCTTCCAAACTAAAAACAAAAAAACCAAACTCCTTCATGCGTGAAAACTGCAAGGAATGAGCTCAATATTCATCGATAAATACCCTTTATTCAATCGGAGTAACATTTATACTTACTTAAAGCATGTCATTGAACTTATATATTCGTACAACTTTATCAACGGCAACAATAATAATTGTAATAATGACGAGAACGTAACGACAATAGTGGTAATAATGGTAATAATAGCAATAATATCGTCAGAATGGTAACCCGTCGGGAAGAACGAGCCTCGATACCGATCACGAACTCGTCCCGCTCGTTTGCAAGTACACTTCCCGGCCGTCTGTATTCGATTCGTGTTGAGCAAAAAAATAGATCTAATCACAGTGACGATGGTACTTATAATCGTAATGATAATGACAATGACAAGAATAATGATAACGTCGAAGATTAATCGTAATCGTCGCCCGACTATCGCTATATTTTTTTTTTCTTTTTTGTTTTAATTTATTATTACTCTCACTACACGGTGTTTTGGTTAAAGTATATTCCTCTTCTCTCACTGGTATCTTTCATCCCATCTGTCCACGAAATAGACGAATAATTGATTCTCCTGTATTCTACCTCACAGATTCTCCTCTTTCTCTCTTTCTCTTTCTCTTTCTCTCTCTCTCTCTCTCTCTCTCTCGTCATTTATGTACATTGTCTCGTTCCACTGTGACGAAATGATCTCAGTCTGCAAAATAATAAGCGTCGCACGGAAAATATCTTCGCCTCCGTTTGGTCATCTCGCCTAGTTTCTCTAATCCTCCGTTTTAGATTAGTATCTCGCTCACACACCGTGTTACTCGGTAAACGTTAAAGACAATCTTATTGGCGAATTTCGCCATCTTCATCTCGTTCATCTCGTATACGTGTCGATGCCAGAGAAACGGACCAGAAACGCTTGGTTTTTGTCGGTTCGACGACAAAGTATTGTCAGAAATTTGTTCTCCTTCGTCGAGCCTTCGATCGTTAAGCTTTCAAGAGGCAGAAAATATTCTGTGTCGGTGTCGTGATGCGCGCGGGAACGATTATCGATATTTACACGCTCGGGTTCCTCCGTCGCGTTTCGCGATCCGTTAAAACATACGCTAACTTACAACGTAGACGGATGCAAATGCTTCAACAAAAAAAATGATAACAATTTACACAGACGCGTAATCGTACTATGCACGTGTCTATGTTTATTCTCTAATAAACCTCCCCAACAAAAGAAACGAACGCAGCACGTTTCGAAGCTATTGCACAAAAGAACGAGTATATCCTTCGTCCCGGACTCGGATCGTTCGACGATTCACGACGAGCACGAGGATCAAGGATCGTCCTCGCGTTTCACGGGGCTCGTCGATCCTCGACGCGCCTTCAAACGTCTGGAAATTTGATAAGTACACCGTGTTTGCGATTGACATTTCGGCAATTAACGACCAGGCTCAGTGCGCACCCGGCGATCTCGTGTGTACATGCACCTGTTACTGGAAATTTAAGGTTACTCTCGCACAGAATCTTCTCTCATCGATCGTCTCACGCACAATTAGCCAAGTGGATCAGTGATACTTGTCAAACTCTCGTTATAATATTCATAATTTCTTTCACACTCTTCGCTTTCTCTCTCTCTCTCTCTCTCTCTCTCTCTCTCTCTCTGTAGACTATGTACACACTATGGACAAAAGTGTTTCGCCGTTTCGTAGACTCGTTGATAATATAAATGCGTCGGTATACTCGTCGCTAGTTATTCTACGTCAGACAGTAGTAAGAGTAGTGGTAGCAATAATAATAATAATAATAATGATTGGTTAGTCCTAGAAACGATCTCGGTGGTTGTAACAGTGACGATAGTAATAATAATATCTAGCGGTAGTAAGTTTACGCAGTGGTAAATTTATAAGTTAGCCGTCGGTTTTTCACTTTTTTTTTTTTTCATTTTTCCATTTTAGCAGAAGCAGCATCGTTAGCGCGGTTCCACATTGTTTCTCGTTACATTTTTTATTTTTTTTTTTTTTTTACTTTCTCGTTTTACTTTTTGTTTCTTTTAAACGTTTAATTGGCTTAACGGATAGTTAACAGTCATGCACTGGTAAGAGCGATACGTTTTCTTCGATATACATTTAAGCTAAATCATCCGTGTCTTTTCTTTCGCGCCTGTCCTTCATCGTCTCACATTTTTATCTTTACACAACTTAAGAGTAATAACCACATTAACATTTCGGCCAAATAATATATATATATATATAATTTGTATATATATATTTCTCTGCCATCTATTTACAATCACGATGACTGCGAGCCCTCGCGGTCCTCGCTACCGCCCACAAACGCTTACGTTCTACGAGTTCGTTATATACAAAAGATACCACTATGAGCAACGTCAATCCGCACGGTTCCGCGAGAACATCACACTGAATGATTATCAGATGATACCTTAGGTACCGTATTTTACAACATTTACTAACAGTCTATACAGTCGTCGTCGGCTTGTGTCCAACATTCACCGTCATCGAAAGCACCGTTTTTTCCCTTTGTTACACGAGCAGATCAGTCGGTAATTCGTAAAAGGTCCTCTCTCAGTTCTCTCCATTCTCAGCACGAAGAGTTATGACACAATATCTCCCGTGTATCAGAGAAAGTCCTCCCCTCTGCTACTCGTTTTACCGACACACGAGATTCCTCGTTCGCGTTCTTCGTCGCACAGAATCGTCCGTCCAGCGTGGTAAACCACGCGAACCTCCGTGTCTCTGTTATCATCGTGTAGTTTCCCTTTTTCTTTTTTTTTTTTCTTTTTTTTTTTTTTGTCGTCACAACAAGAACGAAGTCACCGCGCGAAACGCGTCCGTGTCACGTTGTACCCGATCGTCGAGCTTTAAGGATGGTCTCAGATGGGTGTCGGTAGGACCGTGAAATCCTGCAGCGCGGTCTTCACCGTCTCGTATATCGGCCGGTTCGCCTCGTCCGCGCAATAACCATCGGCGGTGCATAGTGTCTGCAGCTTCGTCAGGTAACTGTCGAAGTTCTCGTGGCCCATCTTCTCCTGCGGTCCGCCCGGGGCGTTTGGTATTCGCACGTGCTCCAACAGCGTGATCATGTTATCGCGCAGCGACTGATAGTACTCGGTCAGGTTGTTGTTTCGCTGGGTAATCGCCGTTGTTTCCTGCGGAGAAGCGAGCCTTTTTTTACGAAACATTCAGCTGATTAAATGTGCGCTTCATTGATTTCATGATAGATATTAAAATGGATTGATCTACGAGATCAGTAGACTGCGGATGAATATAGCTGAGAAAATGGAAATTTCATTCGTCTATTAAGTATTGCTATTTTTATACGTTATTATTTCGAAGATTTTTTTATATTTAAGAACGTTGTAAATATATAAACATCCGCAATCCAGAGATCAATGATATCTACTAGGATTTCAGACTCGAACTTCGATCGAAAGGAAATCTGTCTGAGCAGCACAGATCTACGTTAGCAACAAATGATATGAAAACAAACACGAGGGCTAAAATTTCCACAAATTTGTTACAGCGAGTCCAATATGTTACAACACTTCGTTTGTCTCGAGTAACATCGTAAATAGAAATTTCAACCCAAAATTATATATCGCATTCTGCGTAACTAACTACCGGAAGTATCTCTAGCATTCCTATCAGCACACGGTAATAATCGATTACCGACTGAGTACAAGCGTACTGACCTTTTCACCTTGCTTCAGCTGGTTCTCCATGGCGGTGATATCGGAGCGCAAGCGCAGCATCTGCGATTCGACCCGAGCGTTCTCTCTCTGGAGCTCCGTGATTTCGGCCTCCAGTTTGTAGAGATCCTCGGTCTGGCCACTGGCGGTACCGCTACAACTCGTGTTACCCTGACCCGTACCCACCGCACCCCCGTGAGCCGGACCACTGGTGTCCACTCCTGAAGATAGGACATACACGGTCCATTTTAACAGCCTGTCAAATCTCTGTTCTCCTTTTTTTTTTTTACTTTCTTTCTCTTATATACTTTTACGCATTTCCCGATTTCCAACAGCTTTCATCCTGACTCTCGAGACACTGATTCGATCGATTTTTTTTTTTTTTTTTGAGTTAATGCAACTGGCTGTCACAATTAACGAGACACCTGACTACCATTCAGTACGATTTGAACGCTTCTAATTTTTAGTTACTTCTTAGAAAGAAATCTGTCATTTGTAGTAAAAGCAGTAATAACATTTGAAATATTGAATACTGAAGAAATCTATCAATCGGGATAACAGTAAAATTCCAATTACAGGATACTCGACAAAATAAAAAAGACAGAGTTTTCTAATGATCGTAGGTGTCCCGATACTTATGACTAGCAAGCAATGGTCTAGGTCAATAGTCTCGAGGACGTAGGTTCAGTTAAAGAAAACCATCGGAAGCCAAGAAGCCCGATAAAGTCCGATCAACCCAAGATCTTGACCGAAGCTCGTAAACAGAGCTCTGTTCACGCGAGTTTCGTACGAAAGCGAGTCGACATTGCAGAGAAAAAATGTTACTAGTTAGATACGTAGTTCTTGACAAGTGTGCGGGATTCATATAATACAATAAAATGTGAGAATGTGGCGAGAGCGTATATGTAAGTAGCGCCAGGAAAGCTTCGGACAGCGATTTGGGTTGGTCTGTGGTCGGGTTACATTGTTTCGTTCTTTCTTTTTTTTTTCTTGGTATCTTTTTTCATTTTTTTTTTTTTTTTTNTTTTTTGAGAAACAAGTGCATTATCACATCGCAGGTTCGTTTTATCGCACGACAATGATCGCTTGCTAGGCGGTACAAGTGTCTAGAAAGTGTCCCAAGTCGCTGCATGAGGATTTTGTCTGAAATATGGGAATCGGTACGGTTTCTTCTGCGAGTGGTTCGTGCTGAAGTGATGGAAAAAAAAAAACGAGAGCTCGTCTAGTTCGCAAACGTGACAATTTGTTCTCTCGATGAAACGAGTGACGCGTTTTAGCTCATTGACAGACGCACGAACCTGACAGGAGTGCCGCAGGAAAACAGAATGATCGGGGGACGATGTTGAGGTGATCAAAGGGTAGCGTGAGGTGCCATCATACCAGATAGAAGAAAAAAATGGGAGACACCGAGTGCTGGCCTTCTAGTTTCTCAACGTCATTATAATTTTTTAAGCTCACATCATCGCAAACAAAATTGTAAATCACTTGGTCAACGCTGTTAATTGGTACAACGTTAGTCTAATTATTTCTTTTATCGGTGTGCTGCCAACACTCGGACGTCATATCATAAAAAGTAAAATTACTGGTGTGTGGATCTTGTATGTAACACCGAAAACACATAGAAAACAAATGGCGAGTACGTCAGTCCCTTACCTTCAAAAGTAAATGTTCTCCTCAAAGCTCAATGACAGGAAAGGAGCTGATCGTGATCCCAGAATAAATCAGAATATATTATTTTTCATTATTATGACATACGGTTGCTTTCTTTTTTTTTTTGTCTTTACATTTTCGTTTTTTTTCTCTTTTTTTTTTTGGTTTTTAGTTGTCTTTGTTCTTGCACATAGTAACGTGGGAGATGGGATTTCACGGGGGCAAAAATTCTTAATTGGAAGAAGCAAAGTGAACACAGTGGAAGTTTAGGTGCCCAGTTCAGGTGTTTTTTCTTTTCTTTTTTTTTCATTTCCTTCTCTTTTCTTTTTTTGTCCTTCCGTCCTTGGTCAACAAATTCCGTGCGTCTCTGTTCTCTCGTGGAAGGATATATAAAAAGGAAACAAGAAACGAACGAAAAATCTCTCGAAAACACCTGGATACCAATTTCGGAGGGAAAGAAAGGGGGAGCGAGAAAACGTAACATTTAAGTTAGAAACGATCAAAGAAATAACTGAATATACGGGTAGATAGAAGTGGGACGGGATGAAGGACGAGGTTGTTCTTGTTGGTATGACAGCACATCATTGCGTGAAGAGTAGAGTATGGCATAGCATAGGATCAAGTATAAAGGTTGTATATGCACAAGTTTACAAATAAAGTTTTAGAAATTTCGTCACGGTTCTTTCTTTCTTTTTTTCCTGTTTTTCTTTTTTTTTCTTTTTTTTTTTTGCCACTGACTCGTCCAAAGTGCAACGAAACTCGCGCATTTAACGAATTACTAATTCCATACATTGTGTTCTTTTCAAATATATCATCCGACGCGAAAGCCAATGAAAAAGGAAACGAAGAAAAAGGAATTATATTGGACGAGTACGGCGCGAGAAAAGAATAAAAAGGCAAACTCGTAATGATCATGCCTACTCTTTCTGCTTATGGCCACCGTGGCAGGCAATCACATGTCGCAACATTAAAGCTCGACGCGAATGAGATCTCACGAATTTACAATAATAAATTTTTCAATAATTGGTAATAATGTGTGTCAATTGCTATCGTCGACTCGTTCACGAGGAGCCAACCGATCTGATTTCCTTTCATTTTGCTCTTTTCTTGTTTCTTTTTCTTTTTTTTTTTTTTGTTTTTTTTTTTTGTTTT